GAATGTGGTTTTGACATTTCAAGAAAAAATGGAGGGTGTTCCCAATATAAAAGCTAAAAAGCATTCATAGGGATGTACATGCATGCTTTGTAGTCATGCTCAAAATGGAGGGCATTTTGGAATTCCTCCTGGACAATGCCTTGCTCCAAATGGGGGACATGTCCTGCAAAAGGGCATTAATGACTTTTTTTGGCATGATAAATAATAATAATAATGATACATTTATATTTATATTATATTTAGTATATGATTGTTGTGTGCCATCAAGTTCTTTCTGATTTATGGAGACCCTGTCATCGGGTTTTCTTGGCAAGGTTTGTTCAGAGGGGGTTTGCTCCTGCCCTTCCACTGAGGCCGAGAGAGTGTGACTTGCCCAAGATCACCCAGTGGGTTTCATGGCCAACCTGGGAATCGAACTCTGGTCTCCTGAGTCGTAGTCTAACATTCAAACCACTACACCATGCTGGCTCCCCTTGTTTATTAAATTATTATTTATTATTTTATTTCTTACCCATTTCTTCCCAGAGCTCGAGGTGAGCTACAACATAGATTTAAAAACATAGAATACCTAAATACAAATACAAACTGAATGGTAGAGAGAGAAAATTTATTTTATTCATAATGCATCGAGTAGTAATTATGACTAGAATGGATTTTGATGAAGAAATAGCAGTCCTTGGTCAACATCATACAGTGCAAGGTAAATGCTACTTTTTCTATTGCTTTTGAAATTACAATCGGCGCTCCCTGTCCACGGATTCTTTATTCGTGGATTCAACAAGCCATGGCTTAAAAATATTCTTTAGAATATAAATTCCAAAAAGCTAACCTTGATTTTACCATTTTATATCATTTATTTATTGTGATAATTGTGCCTTTAGATTGCCTATTTTGTAAGGCATCTAGACTCCCTGTAGTACTTGTGGTAAGGGCAGATACTATATATATATATATATATATATATATTGTGGCTATTGTGTTATTATATTATATTTAAATGGATTATTCTGCAATACACTTTTGATTATGTGGGTTAAATTTAATTGTTTGTCCCAACTAGATGGGATTCACTAAATCAGTGGAAACTCGGTCAGTCAACATTGTCTAGCTTCCTTTGTTTTCATGGGTCTCCTCTGTTTGGAACTGACAGTTGGATTTACAGTAGCCTAGTGTATTTGTAGACAATGCAGCTTATTATATAGGAATGCTTATTTTGTGGCAAATGCAGCTTATTATATAGGAATGCTTATTCCAGTAAACACACACAAACACACCTTTTCCCTTAGAAACATTTCCCTTGCAGCTGCATGTGTGAGGATGTATCATTGTTACCCATTCCAGATTGGAAGAGAATGGACATGTCTAGGACATTATCAGGAAAGAAAAGGTATTGTTTAAGAAGGTTAGAAGACAATTTCCTTCTTTGTTCTGACAGCAGCTGAGCTTAATGCTTCCATTCACACATGGCCTTTCTTTGGGCTGCCTTTCTGAATCTGCTCTTGTGATGTGTCTTTGTTCCCAAGAATAAGCACATTGGTCCAGTAAGAATCAGCTCTGGCCTTTGTGTAATCTGTGCTGAGTAAATCTTTTTCCACAAGGCTCAGGGATCTTCTAGAGCAGCCTTCCCATAGAACTGCAAAAAGCAAAGCACCTGTCAAACTTCATGCAGATCTTCCGGACAAATTAGCCACAAAGTTAATTGTGAGCATGTTTTGTTGAATGAATGGATGGATGAACATCTTCGTGGCACAAAGATCACTCAAGAAGAGAATAGCCAGGATTCTGAGTTTGTTCACAGGACCAGCTTTATGGATACTCACCCTAGAATAGTGTAGAAATAATTTTGACACCACTTTAAGTGCTATAGCTCTGTAGCTGCAACCTATGGAATCCTGGGATGTATAGTTTTACAAGGTCTTTAGTCCTCTGTCAGAGAGAGCTGATGCCTCACAAAACTGTAAATCCTAGGATTGTGTGACAGGGAGCCATGGCAGATGTGGACCCTCTGCAACACCGCTCAAGGAGGTGACTTCTACTAATTCCTCTTCCAGCTTCTCTTGCTTTTGAAAATGTGCTTCACAGGATGGAAGGACCCTCTGCAACAGTGGGAGGGAGAGGTTGTAGGTGGTGGAGGAGGAATTGCTGAAAATTGCATTCTCTCTTTCCACCAGTTTGGGATCTTCCAATGGGTTTTGTTTCCAAATCTAAAAATAAGAGCTCCTCCCATTCATGGATGCCAAGCTATCTTTTGGATCCAAGCTTAAAGTAACAGTAACCAAGTTGACTGGGCATGTCTCTTTCTGCACATCTGCTTGGGCTTTGAAAAACTCTCCGCGACATATAAAAGGGGGGGAAAACCTACTACCTTCAGTTGAGAAGATACTGATAGTCAAGTGTGGCAGAGTCAAAAGTTGGTTGCATAACCATGCTTTTAGTGATGCTCAGTGCCTTGGACTTAACTACTCTTTCTACATGCATAAGTTGACATTTCACTACTGCTATGAGCTATATGTGTTTTGGTAACTTATTAATGTACCTTCCACTTAGAGATCTTCTTGCTCTGGGAGTACTGAGACATCAAACTCAATTGTGAAGTGACCTGGCAGGAAAATAGAGAAGAAGGCAATTTTGTTGTCAAATTGGCTCCTGGGAAAATGCAGATAGCTGAAGTTTAGGAAGCCTTCTGTGCAAGTATTTGAGTGAGCTGAAATAATAATGTATTTGTCTTATTGTTATTAATCATTTATCTCTTGTTCATGGTCATGAATGATTCATTAACTCACAGTTACCCTTCCTTAGCTCTTGCCTCTGCCATCCATCCTCTTACATTTGTTGCATCTTCCTTCTATCAGACTACAATTTTGTTGAGGATGAGATCTGGCTATGCTCATGCTTTTCCTTTAAAGAACCATGGCCATTGAAATGGCTGTATTGGTTATGATGCTAAACAAGATGGGAGTGTCCATTATCCATAGTCCTTTAAAATCTTTTCTTTTTTTCTGAGAAGAACAGAGAGAGGTATGCTAAAGTTAATTCCATCGAACAGCTGAAGCAGAGAGTGTGCACTTCAGATATTTGTAAGTTGCTGTGAGAACTTTGGATAAAGGGCAGGGTAGAGAGCCAGTGTGGTGTAGTGGTTTGAGCGTTGGACTACAACTCTAGAGAACAAGGTTAGATTCCCTGCTCTGCCATGGAAACCCACTGGGTGACATTGGGCAAGTCACATGCTCTCAGCCCCAGAAAACTCAGCCTTAGGGCTGGAAACAGCATGAAGGCATACAACAACAACAACAACAAAATCACAAATATATATTTTAAAGCAAACACACATACTTTAAATCACAAAAGGTTATGAAGGAGGCATACTGCAATTGCTGTACCTCTTTAGGAAAATTATGTGTACTTCCTCTATCTCACCTGTTCTGGTTTCCTTCACTGTGGGAGATTTTAAGGTCTCATCTCAGGTGTAGTCGCACTGAAGAATTAAAGCAGTTTGACACCACTTTAACTGCCATGAATTATCCTACAGAATCCTGGGATTTGTAGTTTGGCAAGGCACCAGAGCTCTCTTGACAGTCTAGGCTGTCTGTCTCACCCAACTACAAATCCCAGAATTCTTTAGGATAAGTCATGGAAGTTAAAATAGTGTCAAACTGCTTTACTTCTGTAGCATGTCAGTACCCTAGACACAGATGCAGATTAATCCTTTATTAATCCTAAAAGTCCAGACCAGCTTCTGTGTCCAAAGGGTACAGTGAGAAGGTGTGTTTCCTCTTCTCCCCTGCTTGGTTTTCTAGATCCCTCACACATGCACCATACTGCATTGTTGCTTTTCTTGATGCAGGCACCTCAATTGCAGCTTTGAAAGTGCAGGTGAAATTCAGGTTGTTTCTCCCTCCTTTCCCCCCTCCTCCTTTTAATCCACAGAGAGATACATGATCCTAGGATATCCTGGCTTGGCTATGTGTGACCTTGGACAAGTCACACTCTCTCAGTTTCAGAGGGTGGCAAGGGCAAACCCCCTTTAAAGAAACATGCCATGAAAACCTCATGTTAGGTTCGCCATAAGTTGGAAATGACTTGAAGGCACATAACTACAAGGAAATCAGAATATGTATTGTGAAACCCTAGTGTTGGGATGCTACCCCGACCCCATGACCTCTCTTGCTCCAATCTGCCACAATCTTAAACATTTCAGGTCTGAATGGAAATGGATACAAAGGAGGTGTATTGTGTCTAAGAGCTATGATTAATATCAAACCTTCCTGAATTCCACAGGCGAGTATGTGATTGAAAGCTACTCACCTGAAGTCTTGTATTAGCCTGCCTGTGCTCTTAGATCATGGGAAGTGGAGAATTCCTGTCTGGCTGCCCCATCATTTGGAGATGACCCAAAGAAGAGCTTTCTCCATGCTGATACCACCACTAGGGTGCCTTCTCCCAAATAGTATGCCTGGCGCCAATTTTAGCAGTGTTTCCCCCCCCCAATGCTCCCATTCATGATAAAGAGACTCAATATTAACAAAATGTTGACTCTTACCATCCAAGAAATGAATATCAAGCTAGAATACCTTTAACAAAAAAACTTTGAATATGAAAATAAACCTGGGAAGTGGGTTTTCTGTAAACGGAGACAGGAAAGGATAAAGAAAAATGTCACAAAGATCAGGAAGGAAGAACACTTTGTAATGGATAATATTTGAAAATATTAAACACCTTTGAGTAATATTACAGAGATTTATAGGTGAAGGACATTGAGAAAATCTCAGATATGAAGGATTGTTTGGCTAAACATCAATTGGACAAATTATGCTTGAACAAAAGCAAGGTTTAAATGGGCCTGTGGCAACTATGCAACTTATTGAAGCAATTAAAAAGATTAAATCTGGAAAAGAGACAAGCCCAGAGGGACTATCTGTAGCATATTACAAGAAATTTGAAGATGAGGTACTTCAGCCATTTTTTTTTTTTAAAGCCCTTGTGTCATGTCTTTGAAGAGAGCCAACATGGTGTAGTGGTTTTAGCGTTAGATTACTACTCTGGAGAACAGGGTTCGAATCTCTGCCAAGCCATGGAAACCCACTGGGTGAGCTTGGGAAAGTCACAGCCTCAGAGGAGGGCAAAGATAACCCACCTGACAAGAAAATTCCATGTTGCCATAGGCCAGCAATGACTTGAAGGCACCCAACAGCAAAATATCTTTGAAAAAAATGATTATTTGGTCTCTCTGCAGATTGTTTATTGATTTTATCAGCTGTTCATTCATTGCATTTCTTGTTGGTTGTTTTGATATCATTTACATGCCCTGGGATTTCCATGAAGGGTGTAATAAAGATAGAGCTAACTAATTTAATTACTTAATTAAAGAATAAATCTGGACTGGAAGGAGAGGTCCTCTGTTCACATAGTAGCATAAAAAAAAACCTTCTGTAGATTTTTCTTACTCAAGTGAACATATATTTATATCTTTACATGATACTTCTATGTTACATTTGGGCCATGGGAATATGATGTGGGGTACTGGACTGAGGATGTACCATTCAGATTCAGGTCACTGTATCTAGTGAGACTTGGGAGAAAAAAGGACATTCCCAAGGGAGGTAGATGGTAATATAAATAATACTGAAGTTCCCCGTTAATAGTTATGAAGTGAGATCACAGACCTACCCACAAAAGCAAGCTCTTAATGCATCTCAGCTTGAAGGAAGCAGGTGGCAATGAGATCAGACTTTTGTGTTGTTCCTTTTTAAATAAAGTTAACGTAATAAAGTAGATTGCAAAGTGTGAAAACATACAGCCTAATAATTGCAGCATTCTGTCAGGAGAAAAAAAGTTACACACTTGGTTAAGCTTTTAGCATAGTTAGGGTTACAGTTGAGTTCATATAAAATGAATGCAAACCTTTTAAAATATGCAGCCTCAAGAATTTTGTCAAGGAAATTGCGTGAAAACCTTCAATGACAGGTCTTGCTGTATAGTTCCCTTTCAAATGTGTATTCCCAAAATTTGCATTTATTTTGTATTAAAAAAAATAAAAATAATGTTTAATATTAAAATAAATTTAATGATGTCAGCTACAAAATAAATAATTTGTTAATCAATAAACCACTCTCTCAACTTAGTACATTGTTTAACGATTCCCTCAAGCACTTCTGTACATGTACAGTAAATGCTCACCAACAGGGAAACATATAAAGGAAGAATACAGTACAACTATGTGTATGTATAATGTTTTTTTCCCCAAGACTCCCTTCCCTTCTCAATTCTGTTTCTTATCCTGGCTGTTCTATTCTGAGCCTCTGAGCAGGAACTGTATTGTAATATTTGCATGGCTCATAGACATCTACTGTTATTGTTGTAATAAAATTTTCCTGGGCATCCTCCGTTGAAATAAAGGGGAACTGTACAAGAGCAGGGCAGTATTCTTCTGCATTTCCCAATTAATGGAGCTGGCAGGGAAGACATTGCCAGTGGTTTGCATCTGAAGGCAACAAGGGATAAATGTCAGTCGCTCTACCCTAGTTATTCCCTCTACCAATGAACTGCCCAGTGTCCTGAAGATAAATATTAAAGCACACAGCAGGTCTCCAGCCTTCCATGTGGGGGCCAAAAGCATCCACTTAGTAGTTTTTTTGTGATCTGCATTGATATAAGTTAAGAGAAAGGTAGCATATAAATAAAACAAATTGATCTCACACTTATGCTTCTTGCTTTCTTCCAAAAGTGGCTACCAACCAAAAACTAATGAAAGAGTTATTGTGCTTTGATCTCAGTGCAACATCCTATCCGGTTCACTTGCTAATACAAATAAGGAAGAACGTGAGTTTTTAAAGTAATAATAATAGAACGATTCTCAGCCGGAAGAGGTTGTTATAGCTTACTTTGATGCTGTATCTTGCAATCACATATCAGCTTCTGGGTTTAATTCAGATGCAGTTTTAGTTCTATAACATTTGGAACAGTCTCTGCAATTTTCTCAGACTAGCATTGTCATTCTGAGATTCACTTCTGTGCTGCTCGTGACAAGAGTGCCTTAAGGCTGATATTCCTAGGCCAGCTTATTGCTGTTGAGGATTAGTGCTGATGGTTTGTCTTTCAAAGTTCATGGGAAAACACTGAGAGAGGTTAAAATAGGTCCCTAGGCCAAAACTGCACAGTATTATAAACTGCAATTCTTATTGTCCCCCTTGGGAGGGGGACATAATATAAAAGAGTATAATGAAACAGTGCCTTTTTATATAGCAGAGATCTTGGAAACACCCCAAACACAGTATGAACAGATTTTCCTATAGTCCTGACCTAATTTGAGTAATATCCCAGCATATGAACCTGAGTTTTCCATTCAGATTTCATAACTAATAGAAATAGATAGATTGGCCCTAGATTATGGCAGTGTGTTGTATTTTAGAATGCTTTTACAAATTGCCTAGAAACAACAGGTGAGCCAGACGTTAACCAAAGTGGTCTTGATATTTTTATCAGATTACACCAAGCTTTTGTCATTTTTATTGGATCCCAATTCATTTCTGGGCTCAGTGCAAAAATGCAAAGTCCTTCAGATTTTGTTTGAATCCAACCTCCGTAAGACTGGATGGCTAATGGATATGGATGATATGAACTGGAGGCCAACCACAGGGTGCTTGCCAGTAAAGTCATAATGACTTCTAAGAAGATGAATAGCCTGTCATTTCCTCATTCTTTCTATCTTCCAGGTCTCTCAAGCAGCTGCAGAGCTTCAGCAATACTGTATGCAGAATGCTTGCAAAGATGCCTTGCTTGTAGGAGTGCCTGCTGGAAGCAACCCATTTCGGGAGCCCAGGTCCTGCGCATTGCTCTAAAGGCAGGTAAGATTCTTGTGGAAGTTTTCAGCTCTCTCTAAGACTTTAGAGAAGGTTCCAAAGAACGCTAGGGAGCATAAATCTACTTACACATCTGTTGGAGTTTCTTATTTTCCAAACAGCAGACATTCCTTCCTTTCCTTGGATTCACAGCAGAAAGCTTTGGAATAGGAGGAGAGTTAAGCAACTTATCATAAGGCACAAAGATCTGCTGAGGAAGCTGAAAGTGAAATATTCCTTTGGGCACACCCCTTGACCTAAAACTGCTCCTTGCAATCTGCACTAGAATCTTGAGTTCCTTTAATCTATTGGTCTCCACGTCATTAAAAACCAAATGGAGGGGAATATTATTATTATTCCTCTCCATGTGGTCTTTAGTGGCATGGAGACTAATAGATTAAAGTGACTTACAATTCTAATGCAGATTGCAAGTAGCAGCTATGATGATGATGATGATGATGATGATGATGATAATGATAATGATAATGATAATGATGTCTTACACACCTCTCCCATGGATCAATGTGGGGAACAACAACAATTAACAGATACACCACATCAGTTAAAAAACATCAGTTAAAATATATATCAATTTAAAAAGACATGCATACAATTTAAAAGGACAAGATATACACATCTTAAAACAAACTACATTTAAAATTCATCATTTAAAATTGACAGTTTAAAAATTATCTGGGTAAGCCTGCCAGAACAGACTAGTCTTTTGAATTCAGACAGTGCATTCATCTGTCAAAACTCTTTCAGCAGGTCATTCCACAGTCTAGGAGTGGCTGAAGAAAAAGTCCTCTGGCTTACAGTTGCCAACCTAGGAGAAGGGAGATTACCTCCAGCCTCACAAAAAGAACCTGTGTGTGCTCCAGGACAAGGAGAGCGTAGAGTAGGGCTGGCAGAAGATTACTTTTCCCTACCTGAATGCTCTAAACAGCCCCCCCAGCACTCTTCTCCCTAAACACTACATAAACTTTTCAAAAGGCATTCTTTGGTTTCTTTTCTTCCCTCCCCAGCTGCAAGCCCCCTCCCTTGAAAATTGTCTCTCATCTAGGAATTAGGATTGCAATAAATAAACTTTTTTTTTCTTTTTTGGTCATCTCTGCATTGGTGTGAGGCAGCCCAAAGTATCCTGGCACCAGAGCTGTCCCTACCCTTCCCCATTGCAAATGCCCTCCATTCTGGTGCCAGGTGGTTGATTGCATGTGCCTTCCATTGAGGTGACTGGTGCATCTCCCTCCATGGCAAGTCATGTCAAGAGATCAGAACGAGGTGTCCAGCTTTGATCAGAATAAGGAAATAACGGCAGCTGGGGCGTACCAGGTTACAGAATCGGATGTGTTTCAAACAGCTGCTTAACCATCGGAATGGAGGGCTCTGGATCTTCCAGAAAGATCTGGAGCAAAGAGTGTTGTATTTAAATCTGTGTTAAGGGTGTTATACCCCAGGTCTGGTACTGAATTGGCCAGCCTAATCTCTTTGCACCAGAACCAGGGTTTGGACCATGTGTTGTATTGTCTCACTGCCAAAAGGATGAGTGGAGGATGGGTTTTTTGGCCCACACAGACAGAGCAAAGGTTATGAGCAGTTCAGTCATACATGATGACTTGTGAAGGGGAAGAGTACCTTTTAATAAATGTTTTTTGTCTCACATTGCAGGGAAAGTTATCAGAAAGTTCTCTTCAAGTACGAACGGAGACCTGGCAGCCTTCCTTTGTTCAGCAGACCCTTTCTCTATGCCCTTCGCTTTGTGTGGCCAAAACTGTATCCTTAAGATATTTGTTAGTCTCCTTGATTATTGTAGTAACTGATTAGGTCTTTTGATAATTCTTGTATAATATATTTTATAAGGAAAAGACTTTCCATTCATAACTGTCTTTTTACAATTACTACTCTGAGATGTTTACATTCTACAAAAAAAATTACCAGATGTCTTGTTAGTTAGTTATTTGTCGTGCCTCATTGAGACTCTCACAAGGTACCTTCTCACAGTGTTTTGTTTTCTGAACAGAGATGTTCTGGAGATTTTCAGTGGGCCTATCTTTTGAGTTAATAAGCATGAGGCTGGGGTGCATGCTCCATTAATTTTGATAGAAGAGCACATACTTAGCTAAAGGCTTAACTTTAGCTGGTGTATCTAATGTTAGCTGGACAGAGTCCATCATGCCACATGTAGAGAGCTTTGTGTGGCTCACACTGCATGTGCAAAAAACCCTGATTCTTCC